TGAATTTACCCGGACTTCCTTGCCATGGAGGTATTACACGCTCTTCGTATCATATGCATGAGCTCGCCAACCCCGTCTGCGGCTGCTTTAGTTGCTGTGTGTTGCTGCAAGGGACTCAGAACTTCGAGGAATAGGTGTTTGTCGAACGTGTTTACTTTCAAGCCAGGGATACGAGGTCTTGTGCTATGCTGTCGTCGGCGTGTTTCTAACTCGAAAATAATTGCAAAATAGTCGCTAAAGGTGTAATGTTGGCTCACCCGCCAGTTTGTACCTTGCGCAATTCCGCTGTGTGCGAATGTAAAGTCAATTACCGCTATTTAACAGTACAAAATCAGTAGCGGCCAAGGCTTCCAGCAACGCTCTTCCTTTACCGTTGGTACGACGGCAGCCCCAGTCGATCGCCCATTCGTTAAAATCACCGCCTATTATTACCTTGCTTTTACCTCTTGCGTGAGCTACAAGGTTGTCCATGATTCTTGTAAACTCTAAAAGGTGGTATATAGCAACTATATACATGAAACTCGCCAACCCTTGCACAAATGAAACCGGTGGCTGAGTGGACCAACTTCACCTGCGGAGCCTTCACCCCGCAGCTCCAAATCGCCGCCTTATGGCTGGTGTCTTGTGCCCATCTGACGCCTGCGCCTAACTTATACAGCTCACTCAAAATAGCGACGTCGATCCTCATTTCCCGCACGGTCTGGTCGAGAAGATTTTGGGCTGCTTGGCAGTGGTTCAGGTTCAGCTGTATAAACTTCATTTTTTCTTTTTAACCGCTAGAGCCTCGACATACACTGGGCATCTTTTTCCCCCTGTTGAGTGCGAGACGTCACACATCCCTTTTCGCTTGCATATAATGCAGCAGTATGCGTTGGTGCACTTTTTAGCCATATGACCACTTTCCCCACACTTAAAGCAATTGCTACTGCAGTCGAAGTTACTTGTGCAGTTTTTGGAGATGTGCCCGAACTCCATACAGCGGAAACAGCGCTTGGGTTCCATGCTTAGACGTATACGGCAGTTTACCCAACCAATACGAACTAATCCCACACTTAGGATGGAAGTTGCGATCTCTACGGGAGCGAGGACTGTAGCAGTTTGTGTTCCTCCGTAGGCCGCTCTAATGAACTGCAGCTTGATATCCTTGTAGCGCGAATCCAAGTTCGAGAGAGCGTCGAAAATCTCGTCTTTCGTTGTAATGCCGTCGAAGTATTTGATCTCCAGCTGCATCATATGTGAAAGGGTTTTAAACTCGGCCGATTCTCCAAGTACTCGCTTGACGTCCGTCTGGAACTTTTGCTTCTCTTCAACTCCGGTTTTCTTTAATTCTAATAGCAAATCCCCGTTGTTAGTCTTGCGGATGCCTTTCACAGATCTGCCAAGCTCGGCTAGCTGTGAACTAGACTTGATCTGCTTGAGGATAACAGCGTATGATTTCACGTCTTTGGAATTCGATTTTATAACGATTGCGTCCGGTTTTGGTTTTATTCGCGGGCGCTTCTTCACGATAGTCCATTCAGGATTAGCACGCTTCGGTTCAGTGCCGTTGGAGGACCAACGGCTGGCTCTTCTGTCGCAGGCAAAGCAGCATCTTTATTTCGCTTTGCTTGCGGGAGCGCATCGCTACCTTGAGGTCTACCGCGTTTCCCTGGAATCTTCTCGGGTATATGAGCAGGTTCTTGCGTGTCAACAGGTTTTTGCTGATTCTTCTCGGGAGAATGAGCAAACTCTTGAGTGCCAACTGTTTTCTGTTGGATCGCCTCGGATACCTTCGCGTAAAGGAGCTTTATGGCATGCATTATTACCCTCGTTTGCATATTAATAGCGCGCTTGTCGTGTGTCAACGTGATTAACTTGTCTATTTTACCGCCAAGGGCGGACAGCGGATCAGCGCAATTTTCTATCAGAAGCTGAGCATTTTCAATGGTGGGCGATTTTACGGCCGCATCAACGTCACTTGACTGGAAGAACGCTTTTACCATCCTATTAGCAGCTTTTTGCGGCGATCGATTCACCAGAGAGCTTTTCCGAAATGCATTTTCACCATTTTGATCACTATAAACAGTTCCATCCATCTTCGCATTGCTCGTGTGCACGCGGGTTTAGCTTAACACCCGAGGTTTTTGTCTTCGCTAAACAAATAATCGCGATCGAACACTAACTTCTGGCAGCACTGTCAAGTGACGAACAGTTTCACCAATGTATATGTATATGTATATATGTATGTAAATAAGTATGTCGAGGAATCGTATATTTGTACTTTATGTGTAAGCACGCATGTTGACATGCACCAATAACATATTTGCGTATGTGTCGATGCTCTTATGCTTTCCATATAAAGTGACAAGTAGTATACGAAACAACAGCTTACCTTCAAATGCGTTAGTGGAGCAGCTTAGAACTGCAGCTTCTGTGTCACTCGATGAATGCTGGCATTGAGGTACTTGTTGCGGTGGCGTATGCCTACTGCTGTGCTGTTGCCGTGCCGCACGCTGCGATAGTGCTTCACCCCCATTGCTACACGGTGCTGGTTCTGGATGTGAGATATTCATACTGCCTGAAACCTCATGAAGCAATTTGTTGTGCATTCGAGGGCACCCATTGATGGAGCATGGTTTCCTTCGATGGCAATCACGTGTCGAGTGATCGGCTTGCAGGCAGGCGAAACATAAGCGACGTGATTTTGCTTCCTTCGATCGGTCTGCTACTGTTGACTCTATAAAACGTTTGCACTCAATAGCGGTGTGAGCACCCTGACAGATTGGGCATCTTCGTGAATGCTGCTTTTTATCTACATGTAGGACCACTCTACGCTTCGAATATCGTCCGCGCTCCTCGTCATAAACGATGCATATCACGTTGGCAAGTGAACTGACTCAATCGCTAAAGTGCAACACAGTGGCCCGAGGCTTGATTGTAGATGCAAAGGTACCCCATTCAATCCGCTTACTCACTGGCAATTTTCCAATGAGCTCGTCGAGAAGAGTCGGGTTAGAAAGTTTATATTCACCATTGGCAGACTGAAGAAATGCGCAAATGTTCTTCACCTTCGTGGCGAATGGAATCAGTTTCCCGATCGCATTTTCGGAAATGGGAGCAATCTCGCGCACTTGAGCCAACTGGCTGCGTATGAGCTGCTCCGGCTGGCCAAGCCTGAACTGTAACTTATCGATGATGCAGCTGAAGTGGCTGGGATGAATGAGCAGCGATTTCACCACTTCGCCTGCCTCGCTTTTCAAGCACTTCCGTAGCCTCTGGTTTTTCCCATAGGCTGCTGTTGACTCAACGAACGCTGTGTGGAATATAAGTCAGGCCTTTCCACCAAATTCTGACAAATCCATAATCTTGCTTAACATCTTAGACTTTTGTGGCAAGAACTGCATGCTCCCATAACCCGTGTAGGCAGAAGCGGACTGGAAGGGGACGTGAGACGAACGGTTGGAAATTGGCTCAACAACAGGAACAGTTGAGGCAACATTCATATAATGTGGTGTAGATGTGATACTGCGTCTGATGGCATGTTGGCTGATATGTACACGGTAGCTGTACCGTTACCGGCTGCGTGAATAGCGGTTGCTTCGACGGCAACGTAGGCGACGGCTGCGCTGCGACGTCGCTGTGTATCGCGGCAGCGCTGATACCTTTATTACCGTTACCTTGGATCGCCACTTTCATCATTGCGAACTGCGTATCACGTTCCTTTAGCATTCTTTAGCATTCCTTCTTGACGGTTCCAGTGCCAGTAGGGGTTACGTTGCTTGGTTCCCTGGCTGGGACAACATTGGGGGCTCCGGTCACATTGGGAGCAGTATTGGTGGGTTCCCTCACTGAGGTAACCTTAGTGGCTCCGATGGCAGATGAAGCTACAGTACTGGCTTCCATAGCCGGGAGGTTTTTCGTGGATCCGGCGGGAGCTGGAGCAGCATCGCTGAAATCCACCTGTTCAGAAAGGTAAATCAAATTAATATGCGGAAACGACTGAACGGATGTGCATGAAAATTTGTACATAGATAGCTCATGACCTACAAAAATAGTTCCATACTCATCAAGAAAAATTTGAGTTATTCGAAAAGGGGGCGTGGTACCTCCCGTACAAATTTACTATTTTATACTGCATAGTTAGTTCTAGAGGTGTTCATGGTAGAGTACTGGGACTTGGAACTGGGGTATATAAAATGAATTCCAAACTCATGGAAGCAAATCAGGGTTATAAAAAAAATGGGCGTAGCACTTCCCGTACAAATTGCCACATATCCCTGGAAGTGTTTGTGGAAGAATACTGTAACTTGGTATGGAGTTGTGTATACAAAATTTATCAATTGCTCATGGAAAAAATGTGAGTTATTAAAAAAGGAGGCATGTCGCCTCCCGTACATACTAAAACTTGTTTAATACATATCTCTGGAAGGATATAACATCTCTGGAAGTAGTTTATATTTGTTATGGAGACTTATTTTATAAGTGCCGTACTGACAGAAAAAATTTCACTTAATGGAAAATGAGAGCCGGCTTCGGCCATATAATCTAAAGCTCTCATGATGCATACATACCCTTTGAGGTATTTAGCTACAGTACTGTGAAGTGGTATTTTATCAAGGCCAGATTTGAGTAAGAAATATTAGAACCCCCCGCGGCACCTCTCAGAAGGTTACACGTTCACGTGACGTATCCCTGGAACCATTTTAAGGTAATCTCGTCTGCACGCTAGACATGTCTTTCGTATGCCTAGCGTGCAGACGAGATTTTATAATTGCATAGTTTTAAACGGCCGAATAAAAAATATAGGGCTATAACAAAATGGGCACAGAAATAAAATATAACATCATTAAATTATTTTTCATATTTGTATAAAAACGTGGGGTGGATCCCGCGGGTATAAGCTAGTAGTTATATAAAAATGATGAAAATCATACCAAAAAATTAAAAAACAAAGAAAAAAATGTATCACAAAATTTTTTCAACTGACACAAATGTTTTCTTCTTCTATTCTTTTCTTATAGACAATGTAATTGCGATGAGAAACCTACCATGTTTGGGTGTTGGTGTCGGTAGTAGTAATGGTAGCAGCGGCGGCATCGGCGTCAGCAGTATCAGCGGCGTTGGTGTCGGCGGTGGCAGCGGTGGTATCGGTGTTGTCAGTGGCGGCGTTGGAATCGGTGGCGTCGTTGGCGGGCACGGTACGGGCAAATCAGCCGCTGTTGCCGCTGCTGCTGCTGCTTTGGATGCAACAACTTCAGCGGAAGCGCAACCACCCATAACGCCACACGCAACGCCGTCATATTTCGCCACAACATACTACCACCTAAGCGACGATGAATGTACGTGTAATACTTTTTAAATTTAAATTTAAATTTATCCTTTCTGAATACACATGCGCACATCTCTATGCACATACATAAATATTTATTTAGTCGCTTTCCATATATTTACAATACATAGCACAAAGACCAAGCCAATCTCCTTGCACAACTAAATACACACTTATGTATGTACATACTTATTTATGCATATTAGGGTGGTCCAAAGCAAATAAAGTAGGAATTTTAATGCTCTCACCCCTTACAATAGTTCTATAGCGAAAATTTTATACCCCTATTTTTTATCTTGAAATCAAAAAATATTTAAAGCTCGCTCAAAGTTTTCCATGTATTTTATATGGCGAAAAAAAAAAACAGGTTTTTCGTAGAAATGGTTTAGACTTCTTGAAAATCAATATTTTTCGCTCGGAAAACTTGTTTTCCCTTCAGGACACTTTCAGTAACAATACCCAATTGTTTAATTAACCATTTTCTTTGATTAACAATTTTTATAGGACCCTTTAAAACCTCAAAAAAATGCAATAGGGACCCATAGAAAATGGCTGGCATTAAAAATTGGTAAAATAAATGAAAAAAAATTATTATTGGTAGGTTCCTGAGAAGCAAAGTTTTCCGGTCGAAAAATATTGATTTAAAAGAATTCTATTCCATTTCTACAAAAACTTGTTTTTTCCTAAATAAAATACGTGGAATACTGGAGTGCTTTTAGCGACCTCTAAATATTTTTTTGATTTCAAAAAAAATAGAGGTATACTTTTTTTTGAACCACCCTAATATACATACCTACATATACATATACATACATCATTATCTTAATTCACATAAACTCTTTCTAACCCCACATACTTATCACATTTAATGAATCAAATACGATTTGTAGTATAAATAATGCATGCACATTAGGGTGGTCCAAAAACAGTAAAGTCAGAATTGTAATGCTCTCACCCTCTAGGATTGTTCTATATCGAAACAGTATACCCCTATTTTTTTATTTTGAAATCAAAAAATATTTAGAGGTCGCTCAAAGCGCTCTAGGTTTGCCATGTATTTTTATATGAAAAAAAAAAAAAACTTTACGTGTAAATGGTATGGAATTATTGAAAATCAATATTTTTCGATCGGAAAACTCTGGTTATCTGCAGGAGTCTTTCAATAAAAATACCCAATTGTTTACTTAACCATGTTTTAATACTAACGATTTTTTATTGGTCCTCCATTGAAACTTTCAGGGTTTTTTTGGTTTTTTGGCGGACCTATAAACTATAGTTGCGATGAGAAAATGGCTAAATAAATAATTGAGTATTATTATTGGGAATCTGCTGCAGAGAAACAGAGTTATCCGATAGAAAAATATTGATTTTTAAGAATTCTATACCATTTCTACGAAAAGTTGTTTTTTCCCCATACAAAATACATGGAAAACTTTGGGCGCTTTGAGCGACCTCTAAATATTTTTTGATTTTAAAATAAAGAAGTAAGAAAGTCTAAGTTCGGGTAGAGCCGAACATTAAATACCCGGCGCAAGTATTAAATATATGTGTTTTCACCTTTCCGAAAGCAACCGATAGATGGTGTATCAATTTTGAGTAAATTAGCGTCCTTAAATTTCGAAATATTGCAGTTTCAAGCATTTCTGAAATTTACCGTTATATGAAAAGCGGCCGTAATTTTAGGCCGATTTCAATAATTTTCAACGTTTTGCTTTTATGTGGCAGGCACAATAAAAATACCGAGTTTGGTACAAATTGGTAGAACGGTTACCGATATACATATATGTGATCATAAGTGGGCGGTGCCACGCCCATTTTTCCAAAATCTTACCATAAACGTATTTCTTGGTAAAGAATTGTTGCAAGCGTAAATTTTGAATAAATTAGCTTTTATATTTACTGATTTATCGAAGATTTTGTATTTCTCTAAATTACCGTTATATGGGATGTGGGCGTGGTTATTGTCCGATTTTTAAAATTTTCAGTCATTTAGTATGCTGTATCAAGGCCAACAGCTGTGCCAAGTTTGGAAGAAATTGGTGTAGCCGTTACCAAGATATACACATATAACCATAAGTGTGCGTAGCTACGCCCATTTTCCAAAAATTTATAATATTCTTTTTTTTTGTCTAAAAGTTGTTGTAAATATCAATTTTGAGTGAATAATTTTCAGTAGTTACTAAAATATCGCAGTTTTCTTATTTCCGAAAATTACCGTTATATGGGATGTGAGCGTGGTTATTGTCCGATTTTTAAAATTTTCAATCATTTAGTATGCTGTATTAAGGCAAACAGCTCTGCCAAGCTTGGAAGAAATTGGTGTAGCCGTTACCAAGATATACACATATAACCATAAGTGTGCGTAGCTACGCCTATTTTCCAAAAATTTATAATATTCTTATTTTTCGTCTGAAAGTTATTGTAAATATCAATTTTGAGTGAATTATCTTTAGTAGTTCCTAAAATATCGCAGTTTTCGTATTTCTGGAAATTACCGTTATATGGGAAGTGGGCGTGGTTACAGTCCGATTTCGCCCATTTTCAATACCAACCTACCTTGGATTAACGGAAACCTACATACGAAATTTCTTTGAGATATCTCAATTTTTGCTCGAGTTATCGTGTACACGGACGGACGGACAGACGGACAAACAGACATGGCTTAATCGATTTCTCTATTCATTCTGAGCATTTATGTATACATTTGTCTATATCTATCTCGATTCGTTTTGGCTGTTAAAAACAACCGTTATGTGAACAAAATTAATATACCCTTGTGCACAAGTGCGCTCGGGTATAAAAATAGGGGTATAATTTTTTTCGGTATAAAACAATCCTAGGGGGTGAGAGCATAAAAATTCCGACTTTACTTTTTCACGTGTATTTTCGGACCACCCTAATGTACATTTATGTGTATACTAGATCGCCCTCACCCGCTTCCCTGTGTGCATGATATTTCTGCGTGATACATTCTGTGTATTTTCAATATCACTCAACATACTTAAACTATGCCGGTAGACAGAAGATTTAAAATTTTTTTAACCATTTTCAAAATATTTTCAAACTAAGACTTTCTTAAACCTCTCTCTTGTGATACTTTTTCTGACTTACATGTAGTTTAGAGATGAAGCCCTTTCAAAACCATTTCGATGGATACCCTTATTGTAATAATTCATTGCTATTATTGAATAGTTTGAATTTAAATTTTAAATAGTTGGCAACCTTTTTAAAACTCTTTCGTCTGACACTCATATTGTGATACATACATATGTATTCAAATTACCTAATTCCTATAATTCAAGTTGAATTTGAATTTTTAAACATGTAAAAAATGCGTTTGTATGGGGAGGTGCCACGCCCCCTCGTCTAATCGAGATTAAATCTACCCTATATTTTAAGTTGAGCTAAAGGACACCAGTGTAAAAATTTCATGAGGATTGGTTGAGTAGTTAAAGCGTGAAAGCGGAACAAACAAACAAACTCACTTTCAAATTTATAATATTAGTAAGGATGGACATAATAACGGGTGATTTTTTAAGAGCTTGATACCTTTTTTTTAAAAAAAAACGCATAAAATTTGCAAAATCTCATCGGTTCTTTATTTGAAACGTTAGATTGGTCCATGACATTTACTTTTTGAAGATAATTTCATTTAAATGTTGACCGCGGCTGCGTCTTACGTGGTCCATTGGGAAAGTCCAATTTTGGGCAACTTTTTCGAGCATTTCGGCCGGAATAGCCCGAATTTCTTCGGAAATGTTGTCTTCCAAAGCTGGAATAGTTGCTGGCTTATTTCTGTAGACTTTAGACTTGACGTAGCCCCACAAAAAATAGTCTAAAGGCGTCAAATCGCATGATCTTGGTGGCCAACTTACCGGTCCATTTCTTGAGATGAATTGTTCTCCGAAGTTTTCCCTCAAAATGGCCATAGAATCGCGAGCTGTGTGGCATGTAGCGCCATCTTGTTGAAACCACATGTCAACCAAGTTCAGTTCTTCCATTTTTGGCAACAAAAAGTTTGTTAGCATCGAACGATAGCGATCGCCATTCACCGTAACGTTGCGTCCAACAGCATCTTTGAAAAAATACGGTCCAATGATTCCACCAGCGTACAAACCACACCAAACAGTGCATTTTTCGGGATGCATGGGCAGTTCTTGAACGGCTTCTGGTTGCTCTTCACTCCAAATGCGGCAATTTTGCTTATTTACGAAGCCATTCAACCAGAAATGAGCCTCATCGCTGAACAAAATTTGTCGATAAAAAAGCGGATTTTCGACATTTCGAACCGAACACTGATTTTGGTAATAAAATTCAATGATTTGCAAGCGTTGCTCGTTAGTAAGTCTATTCATGATGAAATGTCAAAGCATACTGAGCATCTTTCTCTTTGACACCATGTCTGAAATCCCACGTGATCTGTCAAATACTAATGCATGAAAATCCTAACCTCAAAAAAATCACCCGTTACATTTAATGTCAGTAGTTAACATGAAGACTTTTATCTGCATGCTTATATATGTATGCATTTACATACATACATACATACTACGCAGATAAGAACATTTACATTTACATGCATACATAACGTCACCTGAACTATTTTTTTTGCATACCCAATGTTGTTAGTTATGACCTTTTGCATTACAGGTGATTATACATGTATAAGAGTGGCACTTTTTCATAAAATGTTAATAATATTGATCTGACTACCGCTTAGTTTGCTCTCAATAGTATTAGCGGAGGACGTGCACTTGGACTTCAAAGTAAAACACCTATACAAAATTTTAAAATATTTATTTGGCGTATTCACGCTGCTATTTCTTATTATGAAGTTATTTGAGGACAATGTTAGGCCTAATTCTGGTCCATTTCGGTACTAGTTCAGGACTATTTCAGGGACATTTCGGGCCTAGTTTAGAATAATTTTGGAACTAGTTCAGGTCCATTTCGACTTATTGTAGGACCATTTTGGGGCTACTTCGGATTATTTTGGGACTAATAGGGCAA